TCACTGTATTCAGTTTTAAAATGCTCTCAAAATCAGCAGCTTTAAACATATACGCTCATACTCTGTATATATTTTAAATACCAGGAGCAAGTATTTTGATTAAGCATACTTTCTGGAAGTGACTTCATATGCCATCCTAAGTTAAACACTTTTAATAACCATGTATAAGACAAACAGTTGGGCTGTTAAAGTATTGCTGACTATAACCTTGTGCACTGAAGATTTTCTTGCCAAAGTACTTGTGGTTGTGTAACTTGGACCTCGGTTTGATTGAGATACTGATCTTCCCTTGCTTAATCTGACCTGATGACTGTGGTTTCTTCACCACCTTCACCCAGCAGAGATCGCATTGCTTCTCTGAGGTGCCAACCCCACTGGAAATCCCCAGTGAGCTTTGTCACCGAGGGAGGAGAAGAATGGCACATTGTCACCTCCACTCCCTGCAGAAGTGGCCTTGGCTGGAAGATTTCTCATTTCACTTTCAGGGCTGGGAAGAGGCTGACGTCCTTTCCTCTGCAGTAATCTACTGAAGGAAGGCTGAGATTTGGAGAAGTCTGTTTTTATTCTGCGGATCACATTTCATGCTATGTGTCTGTCTTGGAGTTACCCACAGAATTTTTGCTCAGCCTTTCATGAAATAATTAGGAAACATTGCTGAATATTTCTCAATTAATTGTTGGATCTTGTTTATGTGACAGTGTGTCACTTTGGCCTCAGCAAAAATTTGGAAGACATTGCATTTTCCTATTAACTATAGTTTTGTACTTCCTGTTTATTAATTCATGAGCTGAAGATAAGGAATGCTGATTCTGTGAAAACTCAACAGGCTTTATGAAAATTTATTGCCACCAAAATCTTTCAAGAATCTCTCTAAACGTATTAGAAAGGTATAATCATTTACCAATGTACAAATTTAGTAACATAACTAAAATGAAACAGAGCTTACCAAAGCTTAGGGGACACATTTTTATATCAATTAGCTTACTCATGCAGAAATTATTGAAAAAGTTTTACCAGTGGTCCCTGAAGGCCTCTATGTCTGCCTGCATAGCTAGTAACTTTGAGCTTAAGTTAGCCCCAAGATAGAGATCGATGTGGTCTGGACATGGTCTGGATAGGCCACCAGAGGTTCCTCCTGTGTTAGCATCTTGCAGCCTGGTCCTAGGGCAGTAATCGGGGAAGTGCTAAGACTCTTAAGGTGTGGGGTCTAAGCTGAGGAATGTGTGACCACTGGAAGAGCTACTCTCACGGGGCAATAAGGTGAATTTCACAAGAGTGTTTTTGGTTTCTCAAAACTGTTGCTACAAGATGGAGCCCCAATCCTGAATTGCTTTGCAATGTAATTTCTTTCTCTCACAGACATTTCCACCAACAGCCTCAGGGTGCTCATCAGAGCTAATGCTATACTGTTTGAACTTTCAGCTAAAACTAGGAGCTAGATAATCTTATTTTCTTTACAAAGTAGACCAGCTCTGGTACTTTTATTATAGTTAGAGAAAATTGACTAATGAAATTATTTTCCACCATGAAAACAAGATTATTTATTCAAATTGCTTGAGGCTGATAAAAAGGTTTGAAATATTTTGGCTTTTTTGACTTCTCAGTAACAAGTAACTAACAACAAAATGGTACCCTTTTTGCAAATAATGGGTAAATATGATTTCTCATCCTTTTAAGATCCAAATAATTTTCTTTTTCATTCACCTCACATAGTACAAGCAGATGTTTCAAAATAGAATCAGACAATAGAAGCAGCACTGTGAAAACTCTGCAAGACAATAGGCATATTTTACTTTTTGTGGGGGCCTACATGCATCCAACAAAGTTTCCATGTCTTCAGCATTGAACTCTTACCACGAGTTGCCACTGCAGATGACCCTTCTAATAGTGGAGCTGGTAAGATTATCATGCATGGTTTGGCCAGCTTTTCCACTCAGAGAAAAAATTGCTGTCACCCACAATTTAAAGCAGCAGAGTTTTGTTTTGGCTCACAGTTTCAGACATTCAACTCTGAAAATCCATGATCTCTAAAGCAGGAGAACATCACAGGAGTGCATCACATGAGTTATATGCAGCTCAATCTAAATGGGAAAACCTATTCACATTGTACAATGATCATTCTAGTTATATCTCCATTTGATTAAATATTTAATGAAAATGTAACTAATTTCACGTATAACACTATATTTGCAGCATTTTACAATCTGGATCATATTAATGACTATTGAGGGAGCAGGGAAAGCTGCTTCCTTCATGGCAGCCAGGAAGCAGAAAGCAGGGGGCAGCAACAAAGAGGAAGGACTCAGGGCCAAAACATAGTCACCACGGTCACAGTTCCATGACACACCCAGACACACTCAGCAGCATGCTTTACCACTGAGCAAGGAAGCCCTCAAGCTTATCAAGCTGGAAATCAAATTACCATCATAGTGCATACATTCTCCCCATCACTGCCCAGGCTCCATTAACCATAGTTTTCCTTTGTGAATCGGGAAGCCTTGGCTCACTAAGGATCTCCATTTCTACTTTTGTAATATTTCCAAAAGTGAGGTTCATCCTTGCACTCTCTGATTTACGTTCTCAATCCACTGAAGTCTAACTTCCACACACCTGCTTAGAATGTCCTCTATGTCTGTGACCTCTCTAGTTCTCAAACACTTACATGTGTTCATATATGGAAGTTACTTTTCTAAGATCTCCACAACATATTTCTTAATAAAGAATATAGATCAAAAATTATGCCTGAGGAAAAAGTATCATTGAGAATCACTTTTAGCGCCTTTTCACTATTCATTATTGTATTTGACTTTGCTGCAAATAACCTACATGACACACACCTGAATCTCAGCTCCTCAGGAAGCTGAGACATGAAGATCACAAAATTGAGGCCAGCCTGGGCAACTTGGTGTGACCCTGTATGAAAATATAAAAAAATAAAGAAGGCTACATGTTAACTCAGTGAGAGCACACTTGTCTGAACATGGGAGGCCCCCTCTTCTATACCCAGTCATAAAACAAGAAGCAAATAACCACTTCCATCTTGATCTGCATGATGAAATATCTCTGAGACTTCCCTGACTCAGAGGAGGCTTCTTTCTCCTTTGTGTGAAATTTTGTAAAGCTGTTTTAACGTCACATTTGGGAAGTGGACGTGTAACATAATCTCAACCCTAATTTTCTTCTCTGGGCTTCAGTTTCATAATTTTCTTTCTTCACTCATCCCCAGTATTTGAAAGCTAAGAATTACTAAATGGAACACTACTTCCTTCAATCGTATACCTCCAAGTTTTCCCTTAGCAGTAAATGCATTACCCCAATTCCTTTGCATGATTCAGTTCACAAGTATTTTGACTGCATACACTTTGCCAGTGTGGCTTCAAATTCTTGGACTCAAGTGGTTTCACCACATCAGTATCTTGAGTCGCTGGGATTAGAGGGGTGTGCACCACACCCAGCTAGCTCTCCCTAACTAAGATCTCTAAAACCTGGGCTAAATTTTGGAGAAGCAGTACTATAAGACTCTTTGCTGATTCAACTCACTCATGGTAAGAAAAATACATAAATGAAAGACCATAAATCAATATTTTTCTCAGAATCTAAATGTATTTCAAAAGCTTTTTTAATGTTTTAAAACTAAATATTATTCTATTTAATGTAAATTTAGAATATTTACTAAATAATTTTGTTTCATCATTTAATACTTGAAAGTTTACAATCACAGGAAAATAATGAAAACTAAAGCTCGATCTACAAGTGAAAACCTATTTATGTTGTACAATGGTCATTTTAATTATAACCCTATTTGGTTAAATATTTAATCTAAAGTGTAATTGATTTTATGTGTAACATTAAATTTGAAGCACTGTATAATATTGATCATATAATGGCTATTAAATTCAAAATTATATTAAACAATATCATTTAGAACATTGAAAATGCTTTTAGGGTATTCATTAAAAATCATTATAAACATTTCAAAGAGAGATGTTAATTGAATGTACGTCATTATCATTGATTAATTTAAAGCAGAAACACTAAATGTTTTCTCTGGAAATCAGTTTCCCAATCATATGAGCTATACAGAGAACTTTACTTTAAAACAATGTGTTAATTGTCAAAATAACATTAGGCTAGAAAGTGTTTAGACTATATTATCAAAGAGTATTTTGGATTATTTGAATGGTCAACAATATATGAAGTTTTCTATGCAAGATAGGCACAATTTAAAATGCTTTTTATTATTTAAAACAATATTGTATCATACTGAGAACTTCAAATTTTATAGAAAATCATAGGGAAAAATTTGAATGCCCTTCCCTACATCTGTCCTCATGTATGGATTTATAAAAGTAATCAGTTTCTGGCTTTGAAATTTGTATTTGCTGATACAGTTATTAAACTTGGTAAGTTATCTTACTATTTGAGTACATTTTGTATCACACTTTTCTATGATATGCATATGTTATAAAGAGCTTCTAGTGTTAAATACATATGAATTGCCTTCATTATTTGGGGGTCTTATATTATTTCATCTTATAAGTGTGATATAGTTTACCTAACAGTCTTATATCAATGGATATTTATTTCATTTCTGATTGTATTTTGTTCTCTTATTTATATGATTTGAATGAGTGTGCTGCAAAGGCTTATATGCTATAAGCTCCATCTCACTACTGTTAGGTGTTGGGACCTTTAGGAGGTGGGGCCTAATGGGAGGAGTTAAAGTCATTGGAAGTAGGCCTAGAGACAGGAAATGAGGTCATTAGGGGTGGGGCCTAGTGAGAGGAAGTGAGATCATTAGAGGCATAGCTTTGAAGGGGCTCCTGGGACCTCAGGTACTTTTTCTCTGACTCGTGGCTCTCATTATGTGGATAACTTCCTTTATCACTTTCCTCTTTCCAGCATATGCTGCCTTACCACCGTTCCAGAAATAAGAGAGCTAACAAATCATTGGCTAAATCCCCGCACTGTGAGCCTAAAACAACTTTTCCTCCTATTAGGTTGACTGTGGAGGCATTTGGTACAGTTGTGGAAAGTTTGACTCCCACAATTCCTGAGAACACTATGAAGACTGTGTATGTCTTTCTGTCATCTGAATATACTACTTCACGTCTCAAGGTGAACTTTTCCTCTCCTTCCCTTACATTTGAAGGGAATTTTCAAATCCTAGAGATGTTTATAGTTTAATTCTGCCAAGAAGTCCTTCCTTAGGATGATGTACTTAGGGTTCCCCATGCACCATATTTCTAGGTTTCCAAATCAGTGGTAGGACCTCACAACTGAGACTTATGACAGCTACAGATAAGTTCCTGTAAGGGGGAGTGGTTGAATAGTATTGTTTCTGTACTTCAGCTTTTTTTCTTTGTTTTCTGGGAAATAAACCACAGGGTTTATCTATTCCCAAATTCACATGTAAAATAATTATCAATCCAAGACTTAGTGAGTAAAACATAAAACATCTGTTTTCTTTTAATGTAAGCTGGATTTTTTCCAGAGGTCATTCTCATTTAACAGAAATCACTTGGCAGAAAATGTAAAAGATATTTATTTAAAATACAGCCATGTGTCATGGTGTGATTCTATACAGTTCAGTTCTGAAGGACAATGCATTGTTTTTGCTGTGGTATTTTAACACTAGCGACTGGTGCCATTGAGAGACGACACTGTGCCAATGTCCATAAAAGGGTGTGTGGAAATTCCCACTCCATCTGTTTCATTTCCTACCAGATATGGTTCTTTAAGACTGCATAAATGATAGCAAAAAGCTTTAAAGCAATTAAGTTGCAATCATATGCAAATCTGAAAAGTGGTGGAAAGCAGCCTTCAAGATCCAACCTACCACCTCTCCTCCTCACATCAATCAGGGAACAACATGGCTATGTTAACTTATGCTGGTCTTTTATTTTCTCTTCATTTTATGCATATTTTCATTCTTTTCTGTGGTTGCTGAATTCTGATGAGGAGGCACTGTCCAATCCAATCTGGTCAGCCTTCAGGTAATTACTTTGCGTGCTTAAATTCCCATTCCATTGAAATAAAGTAAATAAAATGCCAGAATGCACATTGACCATTTTAGCAGCAACAAGAGACAATTTTCAGTCTTAACATTTACCAGCCCAAGTGATGCTGTTCAATAATGTAGCTGTCAAGCACATTTCTATAGCGGTATTCTTGCCTGGTTAGGCATTGTTTTTTAAGGCTGCAAATTATATTATACTATGAATTTTGTAATTAATTTTAATTTATATACTTTTTCAATTGTGGAATTCTAAATAGCAAATCAAATTAGATATACAACAAGCCATTTTAGATCAAGTAGAAATTATTAAAATATCCAGATGGTTAAAAACCAATTCAATGCAAATGTACTGCAAGAAAATAATTAAAAGTATCAGGAAATTAAGTATTAAGTAAATGTGTAGCAAGACTGAAAGAACAAGATTATAGAAAGTGTTATTTATTGTGATTAACTGATAAACTCGTTAGGCACACACAGAGCCTCACACACAGACATTTTTCTTTCATGTTTTTCTTCCTGGTAAGTAGGCAATGGAGACAATAAATTCTTTCTAAATGATTTCCAATAAAATAAGGTATGGAGATGATCTAGGTGACTTTTGAAGTCCATATGTCAGTCTCACTGTCACAACATGTAATGCTGCCTCCGGAAAGGGCAAGGCTGGAAATTTGTTGACCTTGTGTCATGTGAGCTCACTTTTCTTCATGCCACAGAAAAGTCTGCAGTATAGTGCTCTCTGTGTTGTGAAAAATGTCTATTTCCCACTTTCACTGATCAAACAACCCAGCTACCCTTGCAATAAAATATACTGCATTCATACAGTCATGAATGAGGTGGGTTCACATGGACTGTCTCATCTAACTAAGAATCTATTCATTTAAATTTGAGTCTGAAATTCATGTGGGCATAATGAAGATGTACAGATTATAAAGCAGATACACCTGCTGTCACATTAGTACATTTTAGAGCTGGACTTGAGCTGTGCTATGGTTTCTGGGGCTGCAGACATGGTTTCGCTCTGCTCCACAGATGGCTTGGACTCCACGATGGCATTCTAGCATGCAGCCTCTGATGGTTAGGAAAGAACATGTAAGTAACCTACTGTTGGTACTGCTGTTCCAGGTAAGTCTTCTGTCAGTCAGGGTTTGCATTCATCCATGCAGGTCTGTGCTTTCGCTCTCTATCTAGAGAATCTATGAACAAAGTGGCTGTCTACCAATGTGAAACACTTCCATGTAAACCAAAGGCAATTTTCTAAAAATCCTTCATCCAGAATCACCCTTCCAAGGACTTTTTAATATCCTTATGCTGACACTGTCTTTGCAGAGAGTCAAGCGCAATTAAAAAATATAAAAGAAGTATAGGCCTTGACTCAATTTTCATAGTAGCACCCTTGAGAAATTTATATTAGCTGCCTCTGGTCTTAAAAACAGAAGAAATCACACTTTTTCAAGTAAGTCTTTATGAGCTTACCTTATGATTGTCTCTCTTTTTTGTCAGTGGCAATATTATTCTCATTTTACTAGTCTGAAAAACTAATCTTTAAATGTCTCCTTCCCCCATACAACCTAATAGCATGCCATGAGTCCCATTAATCTACCTGAGAAAATTAACTTCTTTGTTTACTGTGCAACCACAGATAACTCAAAATCTGAGCTTTGGTTTCATCAATTATAGCACAGGGAAATAAAATATACATTCATATGGCTCTTGTTACTATAAACTGTGTAATTTCTTAGCTGCATATTCATTCAAACATTATCTGACTTATACTAGACCACAAAAGAGTTTTATCAATTTTAATAAGTGCATAATAACATGCTCTGAAAGCTTTATTTCTTTGTATGCTACTGATTTCTAGACATAGCATTCCCACTTGCTATAAAATATCTGGCTATAAAATATCTAGCTATAAAATATCTAGCTATAAAATATCATCCCAAATCATTTGTCACACCTTTTCTGAAATCTATGTTGTTTGTCTATGACAGCCTCTTCACAATGACCGAGTTCACATACAAGTGCCAGACACGTAACCATACACTATAAGTTTTTCACTGCTCTACATGTATTTTTAAGCCTTTTTATTATAAAGTAATTTGTCTGAGCTTTGCCCCATAAACAGTGAGATAAATAAACCTTTCCTTCCTTGATTTGGGGTGTTGAGTGTTTTGTCCCAACAATGAGAGAAAAATAACCAAGACATAATTAGGTACCAGGAGTGGGGTCATAATATTCATTACATAACTTTAAATATTTTGTAAGAATAAAATAATATGAGTACTTTAGCCCAGTGCATAGTCAACGGTAAACATTGAACATTTAGTAGATACCAAACAGCATACACACATCATATGTATATATATATATATATATATATATATATATATATATATGTCATCAGCATTACCAATATCATTATCTCTAATTATATGTACCATCACCTAGCATAACATTTAGTATCATTTGAACAAAGCCACTTTGTATTGATTTCTAAATAAAATATTTTTTAAAATCTCCCTTTTGTATGCATGTCTAACTAAACTGTGGACTGTGATGAGAGGGTAAAATAATTTCATGTGCTCATCATTTAGTACAAACTCACTGTGAAGGTGCATTTCTCACCAGGGCATCCTTTAAATTCAGTGTTATGTTGATACAGTGTGTCAACTTGAGAAGCTTAGAAGTTTAACTGACAGACTCAGCAGGGAGACAGGATTCTTAATTTATAAATTTCCTCATCCTGTACAAGAGGAGGGCACAGAGATTTTGTGGGTTCTACACCCACTTTGGAGGGTGTGTGTGGGTGGCCTGGTACAACGTAAGAGAGGAGAAGAGGCTTGTTCCCCATTTTGCTCTGGCTGCTGCCTTGAAATGTTGCCCCAGTGCCATGCTGCCCTGCCTTGGAGCCAGATGATTTTGGGCTGAAGCCTCCATAAACAGTGAGATAAATAAACCTTTCCTTCCTTGATTTGGGGTGTTGAGTGTTTTGTCCCAACAATGAGAGAAAAATAACCAAGACATAATTAGGTACCAGGAGTGGGGTCATTGTTTTGATGGTAAATGACCATGTGATCAAAGAGCCTTTGTGAATGGCTTCTGGGAAGATTTTGGAAAAGTTTAGAGATGTCACCTGAAAGAGTGGTGCTGGGCACCTTAAGCTATTCTGTGTAGGAGATTCTGATCAAAGCTCAGAACACCAGATGGCTGATAGAAAGCCTGCTGGTAAAGACCAGGCTGAGAAGGTTTCTGCTGGGTTGTTGGACTCCATATGTTGGTTGTTATGACTTGGCAGAAAGTTCGTGGAGATTTTGCTCATATTGAGAGACTTTGCCTAAGACGAATATTAATGGCAATGGACTAATTAATCTGGCAGAAAAAAAATTTCAAGGCAGTCAAATATCTAGGGAGTGGCATGGCTATTGCTGGGGACTTTATGCCACATTTATGTTGAGAATCAAGAGCAAAGAGCCCAGCAGGATGGCTTAAAATATTGTGAGTTTGGCCAGAAAGGAAGCTCCTGTAAAGCTGTGTACTATATAGATAGAGTTGAGATCTTGATTGCTGAGAAGGAACAGAAGAATAGAATAGAGGGCCTGAAGGCATCATGGGAAACAGTGGGTCCCCATGCTTTGCAGCCCCAAAACTGCAAAAGTAAAAGTCTTTGGCTGAAAGAGAAAGCCTCAGAGTGCCATGATATAGAACTGCAGTGGGGGCACCATGAGGATCCAGAAAAGCAGCAGCATCGAGAATCTACTCCTCACAATCAGCTTCGAAGTGCCCAGCAATCCAGGCACTCAACCTCTACAACCAAAAAAGAGGAGAGTCTGGGTACTGCGCAAGCTGGTAGCAGACCTCAGCATTGTCCATGTGGTTCTGGTTTTAGGTACATACAGAATACAAAACTTCCGAGGTTGAAAAGGTTTCCACCCCAATTTCGGAAGGCCTAGGAGGTCAGGCAGTGTCCTCAAGAGGGCAGTGTGTGAAGCTGTGAGTGTGAAGCCAAAGGTACAGTGGAGACTGCAAAAGCCTAGAAAATCCAGCAACATGGGTCATCTAAGGAAAGCTGCAAGGAGGGAGCAAAGCCAGCCCAAGAGAGAAGCCATGGGATCAGTAACCACCAGAAGTGCTGTAGGGGTGGAGTCACCCAAACCCATTGGAGCTCACAGTTTTCCACATATTTCCTCATGGTGCACATGGAGCTACAGGACTTAATGTTTGCCCTGCTGGATTTGGGACTTGCTTTTGTCTCAATCATTTGTACCCTCCTGTATCTAATGTTTGGAGTGAAAATGTTTGTCTTGTGCCATTGCATTTTGGAAGTGTTTAACTCTGATTTCATTTGTGCAGGTGTATGCAGCTAAAAGTTTGCCTTTCTTCTTAGACTTTCAACAATTTTTATGGTTGATGCATTGTGTCAACTTGAGGAGTTTAGAAGTTTAACTGAGAGACTCATCAGGCATCCAGGGATTTTACTTTGTAAATATTCTCATGCTGTGCAAGAGGAGGGCATGGGAGATTTTATGAGTGCTACACCTGCCCTGGGGTGTGAGGGTGGCCTGTTTATAATATGAGGGAGGAGAAGTGGCTTGTTCTTCCTTTTGCTCTGGCGGCAGCCTTGAAGTGTTACCCCAGTGCCGTGACATCCTGCCTTGGAACCAGCTGATCACAGACTGAAACCTCCACAAACTGTGAACTAAATAAACCTTTCCTTCTTTGATTTGGGTGTTGAGTGTTTTGTCCCAGCAAGGAGAGAAAAGTTACCAAGATGTACAGAATGTATTTCATATCTTAAATAAACTGTTGAGCATCAAGCAGGATATTAAAGCCACAGAATTTTGTCCAAGAAGTCGTGCCAGAGAACTCAGCAGCCTCAGCTATCCAGGCCACAGCTGAGGGATCACTGGCCCAGCTCTGGGCAACACCCTGGACTGAAGATGAGCTCCAGGGCCAGCATGCTTAGCCTTGGTCCTCCTTCCAGGGGTCTCAGGTGATGGAAGAGGCTGTGGGCTGAATGAAGGAGTCCTGAGGAAGTGCCCCTGGAGCTGTCCATGCAGGCCAGCCTCTACTTGTGCCCAGCACCCACTGGGCTCTGGATGCATGAGAAAGTGTGACCTTGCCAAGGCCCAGTGGTAGCTGAGAGAGGACACGTTATCCTCAGGTATGTGAGTTTTCAAATAGTTACAAATTTCTCTAATTTTTTTAAAAAATTCTGAATGTATAGAAAATGTTGCTTCTCAGGGAATGTGTTCCCCTCTGTCTTATCTTGTGTTCCCCTCTTGCCTCTAGACATAGAGGCAGTGCCCTGCCTGTCACAGCTTCCATCATAAGTCCACCAGGAGCTCAGGCTGCACTGCAAGTAGCAGGCAGAGCCCTGCTCAGTGAGGACAGCCCAGCCAGGGCAGGGATTCGGGACCATGCTGTGGAGGATTCTCCCAGTGTGATTCACTGCTGGGAGAGCTAAAGGTTATAGGGAACATGGGAAATGCCTTCAAAAATCTGACATTCTTCACATTTTCAAAATCTGACCTGTGCCATACTTTTGAGAATCTGTAGAGATGTCATAGAAAAATACAAGCAGCACAATACTCAGAGGAAATGTTAGTCATGTGCAGATTGATTTATGCAGTGTAAACTGGGTAACATTTTGTGAAAGTCTGGTAACTAAAACAATAGAAGGAAAAGGCACAGTAAGGAACCATCACACAAATAAAATTAAAGACAAGGCAAAGGAAAGTAACTTTTATTCTAGTGAGGAAGGAAAACAGGTGTGAACATATTTTAAAAGTAACGAAACATGTTTTCCTGATCAGCTCTTTTGCATTTGAAATATACATAAAGATTTCTATACACATAGATTCATAATTACAGTTTTCCAGGCATATGCAAATAATGTGTAAAATTGATAGAAACCCAGATCTATTTTGGTTAATAGAAGGAGACTGAATGTAAAATACCCTACACATTAGAGGCGTGTGGACAACTCAATATTAAAACACTGTAAATGTTAGGAAGATGCAGGAGTTTTTAAGTGCACCAGGAAGTAATACAGTGTTTTGTGTTACTTCGTGGGGGCAAAAATACCATTTGAGATTAAAGTCTTCTGAACATGTAATTTGAGGAAATGAAAAGCACAAGTTCAATGACCTCTGTATTAATTCCTTCCATTAGATCATACACTATCTGGCATCCAGTGACCCTAAACCCCCTCTGAGGCTTAGAGGTCCACACCCCCGCCTCCCCGGCTGTAGTCTCTGTTCCTTAAGTGTGAGTCCATAGGAAATCTAGAAAAAGGGACACCAAACCCAGAACAATGTTCCCCATACTGGCCAACATCACATCTGGGACTCTGGGGAGCAGTTTTCTGATCCAACATCGTATTTCCACGATTTCCTATTGTGTTCTACTTCCTGTGTGTGCACATCATCAGGGACAAACCTAAGATCAAACTTTCCTCCATATAGGGAAAAGTGGCTTATCTCTGTTAAGAGACTCAGAAACTCATGCTTCAGGGAGACATGCAATGTTAGAACAAGTCACTGCCAACCTGGTCCATTGGGGTCATGCTTTTACTGCACTGATGTACTGACTTTGTTCTTTGAAACCAAGAAGCAGTCTTGGTAACTGAGGGTCACTTAGTAAACACACCTCTTAGTTTATTTTCCCATTACAAAATAAAAATGTTCACTTTTCATTTGTACAATAGCATTCTCACCCCATGTTACATATCTAAGGCTTAAGGTCTCTAATATTTCAACTTTTACTTTGCCCCACCCACTTTTTTAAAAATAAAATGGTATTGGATCACAATCCAAGCGAGAGTTAGTGCTGATCTCAACACTTATTTAACATTGAACCTGGCACATCCTAGTAACTGGTACTGGGCGTGGGTTCAGAGCAAGCAGATGTTTATTAACATTCCAGATCATGGCAGCACTCAGAGCCCCTGAGCCACTCAGGGAGCTCTTCTGTAAGCTGCTGCCCCAAGGATGGAGGGCTCCATGGCCTTCCTGTGTGCTGCTGTTTCCAGTAATCAAATTTGCATCTTACTCTGCAGGGACCTTCATCTCTTTCTGCCAGCTAGAAGAAGCATCCTACCCAGTTAACAAACCAGAAGCATGGTGGCTTAATTTCACATGGCAAATACTTCTTCCATCCCTGAAAAATTAATATCTCTATTACCAAGACTTATATGACTTTGGAGGGGTCTAAAAGTTCCTGTACACAAACAAAAGGGATTTCATAAAAAATTACACAGCTATGATAAGCCAGCAGTTTGAGTAAGAGAGCAATCTCAGGCCTTGCTGGGGAATCTGGAGCGTGCAGGATTCCAAGGGCTCCATGGGGAAAGCGTTGCCTCTCTGCTCGCTTGCTGTGGTGATTACACATGCACAGTGGAGCAGACACAGCTCCTGCTCATTGTACTGAAAATTATAGTTAAAAACATCCGCACAGTGCTCATCCAATTACACTGATAGACTTCCTGAAGTCACGTATGTAATCAGGAATATAAATTAAGATGGGTTGCCCAAAATAAACAAAAATGTATCACAACCTTGAATTTGAAACAAAGGCCAGCCATTAAATCACTAAAGCCTTCAGATCCTGCAGGGTTGTTTAAATAGAGTTCAGAAGAAGGACAAAATAGTTATCTGTTGTGCTTTCTGAAAACAATCACTAAGTGAATGTCAGCCCAGCAGTAACCCTCAAAATACCTGGGAAAATATCCCGAAGGAAGCTATTTTAGATTCCATAAAGTTGTTTAAACAATCTTTCATTTTCTGATATTTAGAAAAAGATAAAAATAAATTTCACAAAATATTAACTTAAAACTTAGTGTATAACAGTACTGTTTTGTGACTAAAATTTCCCTCAGCTCCCATATTAACTTCCTGTCTTCTTTCTTCTCATTTTGAAATTCTCCACCTATTTTCTACTCTCTCTTCCCTCCTTCTATTTGATGACAATATCAGTAACATTAGACTATGTCAGAGTCACAGTAAAGTGTTATTTCAAAGCCCAACTCTGAAGTTGAGGCTAATTGATAACTAATTTTGGCTATACTAGCTGTTATCTTGGTAATACTGATGCCAAAAGTGAGGACTAATGGATCAGTGTTAGTTCAGAGCAAAATGAAAAGAAAAATAGTATTTTCCATTCCAACCTCACCTCTTTCCCTTCCCTTGCAACTCAAAAGAGCCACAAGGTCAGCATCTCTCCCTTCCAACCTTTACCATGTATTCATGGTGAGTGCGCTCAAACATTCTTCTGTGTTTTTGAACACAGGATACAGCACCATCCTACCCATGCCCACTTCCCCAGGGAACAGCACGCTGGAGCTCTTTGCTGCTGCCTGACTGCACCACAGTCCACTTGTCGGACTCCCCACCTGCTGTCCCTGAGCTCTGGTAATCACCGCTCTGTTCTGCATTGGTCAGCGGTTTTAGATTCTGCCTATGTATGGGACCATTCAGTCTTCATCCATCTGTGCTGGGCTTGTCTCCCTGATAAGGGTTTCTAACTCATCTGGGTTGTAGAAATGATAGAGTTCATTATTTTCTACGGCTGAATAATACTCTGTGCTGTATATGTTACACATTTTCATTATTCTGTTTCCAGCTGATTTTTGTTTACATTTTTTGGCCACTGTAAATAATGCTTTTATTATTTCTTTGACACACTTACTTCATTTCCTTTTTGCATATATTCCAAGAAACAGAATTACTTGGTTCCACAGTAGTTGTATATTTAATTCCAAAAACTCTGTAACACTGAGAGACCAGGAGCCTTTTCCCAACCTTCTTTCCCGTGCTGCTTCTCTTCAGAACCTTCCTAAGAGCCAGGCTTGCCGGAGTCAAGTTACCTCATTGCATTTTTGATTTGCATTTCCCTAAGGATGGTGATGCTGAGCAGTATCACAGCACACTGGTTATTTGTTTACAAATACGTTTTTAGCACTTTAAAAAGCGTACTGCTTCTGCATGTACAAACTGTCTCTTAGGACACATCGTTATCACATTTTAAATAGCATCAGTCGCATGTAGAAATGTAGACACACGCATGATTAGTGTGTTAGTTCAATCATTTGAAATGGCTCCATACCAATGAACTGCTACTGCACGAGTAACATAAGTTTTTGTTTAATTTCAAATAAAAATGGTGCAGATACGTCTTTGATACTCTCAACAGGATTTCTGTTTTCCACACCCCTGAATCGGGGACTCCTTTCCCCATTGAAAGGCATGGAGCCCAGCTGGCCACTGTCTCCTCAGTGTGTGAGATGTCGTCCTGACTATGCATCTGACCCGCAGCTATAAAAAAAAATAAAAATTGGAGGGTGAATGTTCCTGACTGAGCCCTGCCTCATGAGGAGCAGGTTCTCTGTGGTGGTGATGCCAGTGGCTGCCAGGCCTCAGTTCTCTGTGTGCTGATTTTCCCCAGGGCCTCATTGGCAGTGGAGGCCGAGCCTGGACACTGCAGGCGGGGAGGAAAGGGTGAGCCAGGTTTGGGACTCATCGGAGCTGCCTTAGCTGCTGCTCTCATCCTTCGTTAGTTCAGCTCTGATAGGAATAAAGTGATCTGTGGCAAGCAGAGACCAACTGCATTCTCTACAGGTTCAAACCCTTCCATGGTTTTGTTCCTTTGCTGGTTTGTTTATCCCTCTTTGCTCTTGGGACTACATCACTAAACAATCCACGTGGACACACAGATGCATGTGCTTGCGGTCCTGAGGATTTGTCTACCTTAGCAAACCCTGTGCACGCCAAGTCAGAGGCCCCACCCTGCAGGGCGCCAGGGTCCCCACGTACCCCTAGTGCAACTGTGACACACTGTGGGAAGTCAGACATGAAATTTGCACCTCAGCACCGAAACAACATGAGGTTTCCAATGTTCTGTATTTATTGCACTTTAAAAGAAGTATGTTTTAGACATGGTTAATTAAATAAAATATAGTATTTATATTAACTAAGTTTACCTTTTAAGATATAGCTAGTAAAAAGCTAAAAATTACATATGTGACTCACAATTATATTTCAGTTGGACAAAGCTGACAGAAAAAGGATACTCAAATAGAATTTATGGTTGTATTGTCATTTGTTAGCAGTCATGTTTGTTTTCAATAACAGTGTTGATCAATGGATACAAATAAAAGTGTTGATCAATAGATACAAAGTTCCTGTTAGATTAAGGCAAGAACATACTTGGGCTAGTATTCTTGATATTCTTAGGGAGGGAATATATTGCGATACACTACTGACTAATAAGGTGACTCTACATAATGATGATGCCCTTGTGTCTCAGAGAGCTGGAAGAAAGCAGTTTGAAGAAATCATGAATCCTAGGCATGGGGGAGCTGCCTCTGCCCTCAGCGTACCCAGCTGGGAGACTCCTCTGCTAACCTGTCTC